CGAACACAGTTATAAAAAATATATCTGAAATCTAAACTGAAAGTTTTAGACCCTTCCAAGATATTATCCCTTAGGTTAGGGCTATATTATCAGGAAACGCAATGAGGATTTAGGCGTAATTTTTAGCTATTTTGGTCAATAAAATTAAATTTCGACGTCGTCTTATTCTCCACTTATGTCGAATCCACGTCGAAATAACGTAAATTTTCCTTAAATATGGTTAAATCTAATTTTGCGACCAAATTTATTATACATATTTTAGGTAGTCTCGAAGTTTAATTAAACCAAAATGTTTGCTGGGCCTCGTTGTAAAAATGTTCTTCTTTGATTTACCCCTTTATGTATTTTTAAGAATTAATAATGAAAACAAATTATTTACATGTAACCACTTGTGCACGAAAAGAAACAATGACGTAAGAGTATATCTGAGTACCACGAGATGGGAGCAGAGGTGGGAAGAACTGGCTCAACCATTTATTATTTTGGAACTTTCTAAATACCTTTGAGGGTATTTTGACTTTAAAATACGTGGCCACAGAGCAGGGAAAGGGGGGTACTACATACGATCATTGAGAACAAGGCGTGGAATATAATCCAAAATGATCGCCATAAAAAATAACAATAAGTAATTCGAAAACAAAAAAAAATTTTGAATTTTCTTTTACAAAAATATTCTGCGATAAATGATATCTCACATTGTATAAACAAATTAAATATATATTTCGTCAGTAGCATGACTGGCTGCCACCTGGTATATTTCTCAAATGTATCACCCAAATTATAAAATTTAATATTAAAATTATATAGATTGACGTCAATTTGTTTATTCAATTGTTGGAAACTTATTTATTATTAACATGCATGAATATTTCTATGAATCATAGAATCTATTTTTTTTTGTTTTACTAGAAAATATAAATAGTCTGAGATATATTCCAAAGGGAATGAATTCAAATCAATTCAGTCAATGACAGAGCTTAAATTATTTACATCAATAATTGCTCTAAATAGGGTAAAAAGTGAGACTTCAATATTAAATAATGAAAAGTAATTAATGCCTACATATTATGGTTTTAAAATTTTCTAAACACAGTGAAACTTAAATTTACTGAATACCAGTATAATGTGATTTAAAAATACCGTGCAAATTAAAATAGCGACTATTTTAGGTGATTATTTGTGAAAATGAAAACTCTAGGTAAATTTATATTACGGTGATGATAGTAACTATCAATCTGTTACAAAGTTTGTCCAAAAAATAAGTATCGAACTTAAGATACGTTCATTTTTAAAATTGTTTGGTATACAGTACTACAGGGTATATCAAAAAGATTGCTCATAAATTATATCACAAGTTCTTGGGTTAAAAATAGGTCCATTGGACCTTGATTACCCATGTACAAAATTGCACACACAAAAAGTTAGGGTGTTTAAGTTAAAAATTTAATGTTGCTCTTACGGTTAATATTTTTTCATGAAATTTTATATGGAGTGTTACTAATAAAGCCGAGGGGTGGAGCAAATATTTTTTTTCTAGATTTTTGTAGGTTTTTCGAGGGGGTTATCGCTTACAATTACTAACATTAAATAGTATATTACATTACGAGTGTAGAAAATCACTTTTCACACAAATGATGTACAATATTTTTCCTACAACCACAAAATAATGTCATCAAAAAATGTAAAACCAGGTTATTATTACTATAATAATTAAAATATATTTAAAAAAATAATCAACAATAATCGTATTTATTCAATTTTCATATTTTCTAAACAAAAAAAAAAATAATAAAAAAAACAAAAAAATTCTGGCCCCGCCAGGATTTGAACGCGGTCGTTCGCCAGGTCTCAACTGGCAAAGTTAATAAGTTCGACGTTCTAACCATCTGAGCTAATAGCCCTTACGTCAATTGAATTAACTAATCGGTTATGTATTTAACCAGAATAAAGAGCAAACATATCTTAGTTATTTTAAAATTATTTTAATAATAATTGTTAAAGATAAATATCCAGGATCTAATTTACAACAATTTCAATAATTTAACAATCATATCAATTTTAGTATTAATATGGACATTACATAGATCAAAATAGAAATTATGTGTTTGACATTTTGTGACAGCTACTGCGGAAAGTAGCATATTTCGTACACGGGTGGAAAGTAAATTCTTATTCATACACGTGTAATATAGGGCACTTTCCATAGGACTATATAGTGTGATATGTGTCACTTTCCTAAGTGGTCGTAGGAAAATACAATAATTTAATTTAACAGATGTTCAAGTATACATATAACGTCGCCCTAATAAGAAAAATACCTAACTCAGTTTTGTAAAATTTTACATGAGAGAAAAAAATCGTTGATTTTTAACAAATACATTATTACATTATTACTTATTCTTCCCTACATTTAACACATATACCTTTGAATGTAACACAAAAAAATCATTTCCATGCGTCACTATTTTAAAAAAAAGTATGGAGCTAGACAAATTTTTTTTTGGCAGGAGAGGCAAATTTCTATTATTTCAATTTAAAATAAAATTAACCGGTTAAGTTGATACTCTGAAGTTTTGTCAGAAGGAGGATTATACGTTATTCTAATACCCAGATAGCACACTACATCTTAAAGAAATCCAGTTCATGTCTTACTTTCGTCCAAACGTCTTGGTCCGGTTTTAAGATATATTTAAAACGTCTTTGTTGGGATGTTTTAGGACGTTTTAGATATGTCGGTATTGTGGACGTTCAACTCTTTTCGCTATATTTGAATATGGCGCCACGACATCGTTCTTGGCGCTGCCTGCAGCGCATGTATGATCGTCATTCGTCATTCTCATTGGCTGATTGCATAGTCTGGCGCTCGCGTATCGAGTCGTGTTCTTCCTCTGGCTGCCTTCTTCTCGGACAGCCATTGTATAATATTTTTAGCGTCTATTTCTGGACATTGTCATTACTTTTTCGTGGTTGTGTGTTTTTATATATTGTTTTTTTATTTATATTATTTGCCATTACTGGAACTGTGGTATACTGGAACTAGTAAACTTTATTATTAAAAACGGTAAGTTTTAATTTATTTTATAAACTCGCTTTAATAATGTCTTATTTTTTAGAAAAACACCTTAAAACAATAATTCGACAACATTATATGTTACAGGGACACTAGTTACAGACACTTTGGCTAAAATTAATACCATAAAAGAAGTTTTTAAATCGACCAAACTGGAAAAAAGTTGGATTTCCGGGACTAGTTTCTCATAGCAACAAGTACTTGAAGTCATTTTATGACTAGTTTATCCAACATTGTAAAATAATATTTACTCTATGTGTCAGTTTTAATAGTTTAATAATGTATAATAAACAGTATTAAATATAGTAGACAAGTATTCATTTATTTTTTAAACGAATTTTCATCAAGTAAATAGACGACTTAAACACGTCCAATACGGTTTGTCTTAAAGATGTACAAAACTGAATGTCCTAAAGACGTCTTGTTTTGTAACAATATACGTCATAATAATATAAAACATTTTTTAGATATTAGCCGTACATCTTCAAAATGTTACAAACGTCGAGAGCAAACGTCTTTAAGATGTCTTTAAAACGTATCTGTGCTATCTGGGTAGTGTCATTCTTTAATAACTAAAAATAAATCTTTTTGTATTATGTTTTATTCTGCGGAATTTAAAAAAAACACTCATTTTATTATGTAAACGATTTCATTCAGTTTATCTCAATATATTTTTTTCTTGTGTCTTATTTATTGTTACTTATTTATTTTAAATTTTACACTTTGAACTTGCTTTATACTTAAAAAGATCAATAAAGTACCAATAACATAAATATAAGTTCGTTTTTTTATTTCCAACATGTTACGCCTTTGGTCGAATATCGTTGGTATCAGAATGGAACAAGACTTTCAGCGGCGTTATTAGTCCTCTCTTTATTACCTAGTCTAAGTACATATTATACGAGTATAAGTTCTATCATTCCGCCATTTGACTGTGATTTGAATCTGTGAGTTTGTGGTTGCTTAATATTAATTTTTTTCAGTTTATACTATTTTTATCTCTGAGAAAGGTGGACGTTTTCCAGTGAATACTACCAAGCTAAAAGTTAGTGAATTCATAATGTCTAGGAGGGTAAACTTAAACAAACAGATTGGATTTTCATATTGATCTGCCTTTCATTTTGAATAAGCGAATAAATTATTTTTAGGTTCAGCTGAGAAGGCAAATATGGCCAAATCAAAAAAGAAAAAAAAGAAACTGAACTGCTGTCAATCCAGGCATGGTTGAAAAGGGCAAAGTGCTATCTGGGTAGATTGTAATAAAATCCCATTTTTGCAAAGAAATAGAGTTAGGCAATTTTCTTATTAAGGCGACGGTAATACACATTCTATATCAACAATAAAAAAACTTTAAAAATTTGATTACAAACTCAACGCTACACGGCACTACAATGTATTTTTTTGCAACAAGCGAAGGTTCACAAATATTTTTCATTTAAAATTTTATGATAAATTAGAAAGTAGCACGGTTACAACTTGATCAGATCTAATCTTTCATATTCTATGTTTTAAGCAAAATATTTGTCGAAGTGAAAATACATATTTTTACTTTATAAATACCAGTAGGCTTTGGTTAATTATTCCCTACCTAATTGTTTTTTTATTATTGTCAGTCTTGACATGAAGTTATTGTGGACAAAAGGTTTGCTGTTTACCATTTGATGAAAAATGAATAATTACAATTTTTCTTAAATGGCAAATATACATACGTGTGTTAAGTTGGCATTTCAAAGATACCTTTAGTCTTAGGTGAGAATAAAATTTTGGAGATAACGATTGTAGAAACGTAATATTTTTTTCATTTGGCAATTAGGTGAATGTCAAAGGAATGGTGCGGCGACTGCAAGGTTTAATGCAAAAAAATACCCATAGGCGGATATTCCTAGAAATTGTTCGCCATTTAAGAGAAACTGGTCCATTTTAGAAACAAATGGTCGCACAAAGAAACCATGCTAATGATGAGGCTCTCCTAGACAGTATTGACGAGCACACGGAAACAAGCACAAGAATGTTAGGTGCCAAACAGGAGTATTACAGAACAGTAAAGCAACACCAACTTCGTCCCTTCCATGTAACACCTGTTCAAGAATTACTACTGCAAGACCTTCCCAAACGGATGGCTTTTGTGATTAAACGAAAATAGAGGGAACATAAACTTTAATAAAAATATTTTATTCACAGATAAAGCTACATTTACAAGGAATGTTGTCATTAATCACCATAATAACATCAGACAAAGTATGTAGTTTATATAAGATGGTGCTCCACCACATTTTAGTAACGACGTTAGGGCGTTTCTATTTCGGCAATATCCAGCATGTTGGATAAAAAAGGGCCCTATGCACCAATTGAATGGCCACCGCACGGTCCAGATCTTAATCCACTTGATTTTTGTTTTTAGTGATTTATGAAAGAGTATGATTATTGCGTAAACATCAATTATTAGGAAATATAATTTTATAAGCTGCTAAAGTAATTGAACAAAAAACTTAATTTTTTAAAAAATTAGATTTTCATTGCTAAAACGATGTAGAATGTGTATACAGCTACGAGCCACCTGAAAGTATCTATAATAGACAAGGATAACCCTTACGGTAAGATAACCACCGAAAGAGGAATCCTTGTCAAAAAGACACTGATAGGAGAGCTGGAGAAAACAATCTTGTCCGCCTCTTACAGCAAAACCAAGTCACCCACATTCAGGTCATGGTCGCACTCTGGTAAAATCATCAGAGTAACCTGCGACGATGACCTGACGTTGGAATGGCTAAAAATGAAGGTACCGACCATAAAAACATGGAAAGGAGCAACACTCGCAGTTGTAAGGATGGACGAGCTTCCCAAGCTCACCAAAACCTCTCTCTGGATCCCAGAGGAAGCGCAAGCTGACCTTAACGAGAATTAGGTTGTGCTCAGCCGATCTGAGGGGCAAAACCCAAACTTGCATGTGGCGAAATGGTGCTCCTTCCACCATGAAATCAAAAAAGACCCTAAGGGCCATCTCTTCGTCTTCGGCATCGGAGACGAAGACATGGGAACCCTAAAGGCCAAATCAATGAGGATGAGCTATGCGTTCACCTCATTGATTATAAAGCCCAAGGTCGAAAAGGAGACTAAAGCGGGGCCCAGTGAAGACTCCTTGGTAAAGGACTCTCTTCTCCCCCAATTTACGCCAACGGTGGAGGACGTCGAGAAAGAAAAAATGGTAATCGATGACCTCCAGCAAGAAAACTCCGAGGAGCCACAAGAGACCACCCCCTCTCCACTTTCGGAGGAAGCAATAAAAGAAGCAATAAAAGAGGTAAGGTTCATACAATATAACTTGCAGCACAAAAGGGTGGCTACGGCAACTTTATGCCACCGCCTTGATGAGCTGCAAGATACAATAGCACTCATCCAGGAACCTTGGATAATAAAAACCAAAATTTTAGGTCTTAAAAATCTAAATGGTTTAATTTTTAGCTTCCCCAGCAACCAACAACCTAGGACCGCCATTTACATTCCTAGGGAATACAAAGCCCACTCGATGGTACACCTTTCCACCTCCAATTTAACTGCGGTTAACACTAATAGATATCACTTTATTAACAACCGCTATCTATAAATCAATTCTAAACTGGCAAGTGTCTGATAACATTTCGATGTCAGACCACCGCTAGTTAACATTCTAAATAAACTTGATGTTGCCGACCTCCACGCTATCTCGGAACCCTAGGAAGACGGACAGGGCAATCTATGCCCACCTTCTCCAAGAGGCTCTGCGAGAGATGGAATCTGAAACACCAAACAATAATACTGCTTTGGAAAATTACACGAACACTATCCAAAGCACAATAAACGATGCCTATAAGAAATCCTGTCCTCTGAGGCTGGTCCAACACGATCAGACAACTACCGCATGGTGGTGTCACGAGTTGGATCATCTCAGGAAGATGGCTAGGAAATCTTTTAATAAGGCAAGAATCACAAAACTCAAAGAGGACTGGGATACTTATAAATCTCACCTAAAATAATACAAAAAAATCGTCAGACAAAAACAGAGAGATGCATGGAGGTCCTACTGCGAAGAAATCGAAGATTTCCCGCAGGCAGCGAGGCTTCAAAAAGCTCTCTCAAAAGATCCACATCGAAGCATTGGTGCACTAATCAAATAGGATGGCACAAAAATTGCCAACCTCGAAGATAGCATCAAACTTCTGCTGTCAACACACTTCCCTGACTCGGTCATCACACACGTGGCGGACTGGGCAGAGGAAGAATACAATCCATCTATCTATGATTGGCAAACTGCCAAACACATCGTAGACGATGAAAAAATTAGATGGGCAATATTCAGCTTATCTCCATTTAAATCGCCAGGACCTGACGGTATCTATTCAGCCCTACTTCAGTGGGGTCTGGAAGAACTCACACCGCACCTGGTGGGTATATTCAGATCCTCGTTGGTATTAAGGTATATCCCCAAAAAATGGAGAGAGGTAAAAGTGGTATTTATACCCAAACCTGGAAGGATGGATTACACTGTCCCAAAAACATACCGACCAATTAGTCTGACATCGTTTTCCATGAAGACATTGGAAAGGCTATGCGAAAGGTACATAAGGGATACGGTGATTACAACAACACCGTTACACCCAAACCAACATGCATACACCCCAGGCAGATCTACTGATTCAGCCCTTCATCTAGTTGCTGGTCGGATAGAAAGATCCCTGCACAATAATGAGTCCGCCTTGGGTGTTTTCATAAACATAGAAGGTGCTTTTGATAAAACTACCTTCCCAAAGATAAAACACTCACTAACCAACAGGAATGTTCCACAAATAGTTAGTAGGTTGATACATAACATGCTCTCAAAGCGAGCAGTAAACATAAGTGTAGAAGATGTGAATATAAGAGGCTTGGTTGCGAGGGGATGTCCACAGGGAGGGGTGCTATCACCTCTACTGTGGAATATGGTCCTCGACACCCTCATTAGCCGCCTAAATAATGACAGTTACTACACAATAGCATATGCAGATGACCCTGTCATTCTGCAAACAGGGAATTTTGAGAACATACTCTGCGAACGAATGCAAGTAGCTCTAAAAATTATCGAACAGTGGTGCAAGGACCATTTACTGTCTATCAATCCTAAGAAGACAGAAATGGTCCTTTTCACAAAGAAAAGGATGAAAATGGAATTAAAACCTCCAGAACTCCTAAACACAAAACTAAACTTTGCAACAGAGGTGAAGTACCTAGGTCTCACCTTTGACAGCAAGTTTACATGAACTCGCATTTAGAAAATAGAGTTAAAAGAGCATATATTGTTTATGAACAATGCCGCCGAACTGTGGGGCGCCCCTGTGGTTTCACCCCCAGAGTCGTCGCATGGACTAACATGGCTATTATAAGACTTATACTAACATACGGTGCAGTTGTCTGGGTACCGAAAACCCAAAAATTAACAGCTATCCGTAAACTAGAACAAATTCAAAGAACAGCATGTCTCAACATAACAGGAGACATGAAAACAACACCGACCAGGGCCATGGAAGTCATTCTCAGTCTCACCCCCTTGATATTTACATCAAGGAGGTTGCTCTGACGACAATAACATGCCTCCGCACGGTTGGAATAGAACCTGATGTAGGATCTGGTGAGGCGATACGTCGCTTTTGGCAGGAGGCGCTCGACACGCTACCACTGCTTCAAGCTAACATGGACTCTATCTCACCGTGATATATCTTCCATAAGCCATATAAAGTTATAATAGAACAAATAGAAGAGCCGGTAGTGGCAGGTACGATTCATATCTACACCGACGGTTCTAAAACAAAACAAGGCTCAGGATGTGGAATATACTCCAGATTCTTAAACCTAAACATAAAATGGGCTGTGAGCAATAGTGTCAGTGTAGTTCAAACAGAGCTAACGTGTATTCTCATAGCAGCAAAAGAAATAACCAGAAACAACTTCACTGGAAGGAACATGCTCATCTATACAGATAGCAGACAAGCACTACTCACCCTGAATCGACCATGAATTTACTCAGAGTTAGTACTAGAATGTCACGAAGCTTAAGATGGATCAAAGGTCACGCCACATCGAAAGGTAACCATCTTGCTGATTCACTAGCCAAGAAAGCAGCCAACCAAATACTTTTTGGACCTGGCCCTTCTATTGGCCTGACAAAATCGGTAGTGACAGACTTAATCAAAGAAGATTCCCTTGTGAAATTCAAGGAAAGCTGGGATGAAACAAGAAACTGCAGAGTTGCCAGGGAGCTCTTAAGTTATCCTGACAACACTGCAGCAAACAAATACTTGACTATGACTAGACAGAATCTGCGCCTAGTCACAGGCATTCTGACTGGTCATTGCCAAGTATGAAAGCATCTCCATATCATGGGGCTGTCAGAATCCGAACTCTGCAGAGGGTGCGAACAAGAAGATGAGACCATCGAGCATATACTTTACGATTGCCCGACTCTCTCATTTATTAGAAGATTTGTGTTCGGCGAGTATCGGCTAACACCGGCCGATATAAGAGAAGCACCTCTTGGCGACGTTGTCAGCTACATAAAATCTGTAGGCTGGCTCACGAGCTAGGAAATGCCTATCATCTCAGGAGGATGCACAATGGGCATAATGAGGCCTAAGTTCCGTGGGGGTAACCCACCCTCCACACGTTACAGATATACATGAAAGAGGAGGTCATTTTGAACATCTTAAATTAATTTATTGTATTTTGAGATTAATAATTGTAATTCAATAGTAAACTTCATTTTGATATTTTTGTAAACGTAGAATTTACATTGAAATATTTCAATAAGAAAGTGGCTGTATCGTTTAAACGAAAAATTTTACAAAGAAATATCAAGAGACAAAAAAGTTTGACTATGGATTTTGAATTCCAGTGATGTTCCATTTTTGACTAAATTTTATACCATAAAAAAGTCAAGTGGTCAAAAGGGCGATGATACCCTCGAAAAACCTACAAAAATTGAGAAATAAATATTGCCTTACGCATCTGTGACAAATGGAATCCATCCAATGCCAACAACCACACAACAAAAACTATTACCTCTACCTCGGCTTTATTAGTCATTGTATTCTAACACGGCATATAAAATTTCATGAAAAAATTTGTTAGGTGGACTCTTTAAGAGCAACGGTAACAAAATTCATTTAAATTTTTAACTTAAACACCCAGTAACCTTTTGTATGTTCAATTTTGTACATAGATAAGTAAGGTTTAGTCAACCTATTTTTGACCAAAGAATTTTGATACACATGCAAATACAGTGCTAGCCTAAAGTATATTTTGAACGGTTATACTTAAATTAATGAAATTTGGAATCTTTTATGGATTTCGTAACAATTTTTATTTTTTTATGATTTTCGGCCAAATGAAATTCAGGCGAAATTTATTTTAGGTAATTAGATACGATAGATAATAATGGATTTTTTAAGTTTTTTTTGGAACAACCTTGCCGTATTGATATTACGTGAAGTGTGATTATATTTAAAATTATTTAAAATTGTGAACAGATAATAGTGATTAAAACTGTGTGATTACGTGTAGCTTACAATTAACTAATTTATTTGCATATTATGCCAATTTTCTCATACCTAAACCGTAGATCTGGTGTTGAAAATTCAATTTCACGTCTTTTGCGAAGCGTACTTGGTTGACTAGAGAATGAAAATGAATATAATACACAATTTATGATTATAATGATTTTTTTTATCTACTGTTTTTCTTTTAATCCCTAACACCCAGCTTTGTACCCTTTCATCTTTCAGAAAGTTCTGTTATAAACTTTAGGAATTTTTTTCATCGTTATAGTTAATCATAATTTATTTAATTTTGGTTACATCTATTACCATATTGAAATTCATTCTATTTGTTAAAATATTTACAATAGTTAAAGCCACAATAAAACTCTATAAAGACAATATTAAAGCCACAACTTACTCTAAAGGATTGGCAATACCAAAGTCCTCCTTACTCCCATTCATTCCGCTATCTAAAAAAGGTAATGTAGAATATGCGGGACAAAAAACCGTTCCCGATGTTGGATCCTTTAATCCCATAGGAATGGTGCAAAACGGTGGGTAAACTATGGGCTCGTGTAATTCAGGATCAGCGAGACTTCTTATCACTACTAGCAGTAAGGAAAATAATACTGGTGCTATGATTTCTACCAAGGTCTGAATCGGTTTTCTGTACTGGAGGAGCCAATTCTTCCACATGAGGAGGAGAAATTTGTCCAATTTCTCCCCCATTCTACCTGAAAAAATAAATAAACAATTATTAATTTTTAATATATCAAGCTATAGCGTGGAAGCTTGGATTTTAAACAAGTAAGAGAGTAATAAGGTAGAAGATAAAATCTTTAAATAAATATTTTGAGGAATATAACGTATAGAATAATAGCGAAATAGGAAGATTTGGATAATTGAAATCTAACGGACAGAGAGTAGAGTAGCTGAACAGGTAAAATGGTTAGAAAATGAGACAAATAACGAGAAGGCAGGCTAGACTGGAAGCAATAAGTAAAGACTAAAAGAATATTATATTTCGTAGATGGAAAGCAAACAAACGAGAATTGAGACAGGATACAAGTGGAAATATTGACAGCAAAATTAGGCCTGCAGAGTTAATATTTCAGGAAGTAATTGGCAGTAATATAAAATAAGTGCCAAACAAATAGTAGAAAAAGATGCTAAGTCCTTGGACATAATTTAAAATGCACTGTTTTGCATTTGCTAATTCGGCTTATTACATGGAAGCATACTGGTATTTTACAAAATAGGGCGGTGTTAGTTCAATTTTGACAAAAATGCGACTTAGTCGCTTTTTTCTTCCTGCGCCCTTTATTTGATTTATAAGTTTGTTAATATTTATTTTTTGTTCCAGATAAAACTCTTCAATCACTGTGGAAAATAAAGCAACTTGACTAGCTAATTAACACGCTACATTTAATTATTCTATTTGTATGTTTGTTATTTGTTTCAATAAATTAATTTTGTTGATCATTTTTATTAATTTTTTGTGTTTGAATAAAATATTTAAACATTGCCGTTTCCATTCTAAAAGTAAGTGATCTGTGATGTTTACCTGCTAGTGTCGTTTTATAGAATAAGTAATTTTAAAATGTTACCGGTGAATATATATAGTATTTTTACATGCGAGACGACCACGAAAACTTCCGTCTTGCTCCTGTGTAGACAGTAAGTCTATTTATTATCTTAGTCGTATTGCCAATGTCCACATAGTTGTATGTACCATCGGATAATTTTCGGATTAGGTATTTTTCGTATAATTTAGTGTTTTACAAAATGGACGAACAGAACGAAACAGATCCAAAAATTACGTTCTCCTTAGACAGCAAAATTACAGGTAGGGTGTTTAAAATTATTTTCTATCTCTGATGTTTTTAGTTTGATGTATTTCAATGCCTGGTGTGGTATTGACCAAAGTAGTTGTTTCCCGGAGCGAAAGAGTCGCTCGTTTTATTTTCTTTATATTTTAATCTTGATAATTAAATCTTTATTTTTGAGTTTGGAATTATTGACTTTCTTATAAAAAAAATGTTACAGTAAAAATTTTGCCTATGTCTACCTACTGCGCGTTTGCGAATCTGAGAATATTTACCACACAAATGGGAAGGACATATTCCGGATATGTCCCGTTTCTGCACTTTCACTGGCTAAAAAATGGCATAGTAAATATTTGGGAAGGCCTACTCTCTATTTAAAATTTACTCAGGCAAACAAAAGTTCCAAACCATCATATACCTACAAGACGATTTTCAAAGCGAGTGTATATTAAAAACAAGTGAATATGTTTTAATGTGTTTTAATGAAGTAGAAGATACGAGTAAATGTGACAAAACTATTACCTATACATAGAATCGATAATTATGACTAAAAAGTAATAGAACACAAATACTTAGGTAATAAAAGGTATATATTAAAAAGAATGCTAAATTAGAGGAATACTACTTATCGGATTACCTAAATTGTTTTGGTAAATTTTGATAAATTTTGATAAATTTTGATAAATTTTGATAAATTTTGATAAATTTTGATAAATTTTGATATATTTTGATAAATTTTGATATTAATCTTGTTAAAATTTCCTAATTCCTGTCATAACATTTCCCTTTTTTTAGCATGGCTATATCTAGGTGGTTTATTTCGATTTATATCTAGACAGTTTATTTGGATTTATATCTAGACATTTTGAATTCTTATCAAGAAGTTTTATGGTTTTTATACCTAGAAGTTTGGTACAATCTGAAGACCGTGGTTTGGTTCATCTATAGAAGGTCTACACGTTCGAGTTTAAGTTAGAATACCAAATGTCACGATATCATTCAAGTTCCAGAGTTAAAAATGAGGATACCGAACCCCTTTGAAGTTGCCTGAAGATATACCATGCAATAACATTCCTTATATTACCTCGTTTTAAGAACAGATAAGTGCTTTTTAATAAATCATCTTAAATTTGAATTTAGTAAAACTATGTGAATTAGAATTTGCTACTACCTTATCTGAAGCATGGTTTAAATATAATTTGTTAGTGGTTAGTGATTTTCTATATTTTTATCACTAATCTAAAGTCAAGTTTAGTAAGTTTTAAATATAGTGGTGCCCAACTTCTTTTTCAAAGTTATTCGAATTATTTAATAACCTAACCCACGCCCAAAATCAATTGAGCTTAAACATATTATAACAAATAGATAAAATACCAAGAATCACGTTACAAACAGCTATTCCAATTTGCAACCTTTTATTTTGCAAGGAAATATTTGTTTTTGTAGAAATATCAAAATCAAATGCCAAAGTTTTGAAAATTGGTTGCAAATGTTAATATTATTTTTCTTAAAAATCTGGTAAATTTGCAACCTCGGACAAAAATCAACAATTCGCACATTTTGCAGTTGCCAAAAAATTTTAAAAATACTGCAAATTTTACAGAACGATTTAAATACATTCCTATAAATAAATGCAAATTTGCAACGCTCTATGATTAATGCAAAGATTATAAATTGTCTATGACCAATTTTGCATTGCGAAATTAATAGAAAAGTGTCTGGAGGAAAAAATATTCATAATCAATGTGAAATTTGCAACCTTATACTTGTCAAGCAAAATATTTAAATAATTTCATGTTTTCGTTTTTTATCGAGTTTACAGAGAATATTTAAATTTATCCCATATTAAATAATTGACCGACACGGTATAAACTAGTAGCCGAGAATTAATTCCGATCAAGGAGAAGCGACAGTAGCTGTCGGTGCCTTTGATATCGAATGGACCTTTTTCCACATACATACTTTGATTTTCTAAGTATGTGACCTTTTTCACAGTATGACTTTGATTAATACACAACTTAATACGCTGAGAAAATATGCTTATTTTCTACACTAAGCGAAATAGTTTGGCAAATTATCTGAAATCATTGTTATAATTCAAGCGCAAATGTTGTAATGTGATTTAATTACATTGAAGTAGTTAGGGTAATAGCAATGGTGAAATTTCGGCACCAAAATATAATTCATTATGTAATAATTAATTATTTGTTATAAAAGTAAAAGACGTTTATTATTTTATAATGTATCTATAAAATTTGTTCAATATTTGGTTTATTTATTGTTAAAATGTAATAAAAGCCCCATATTTAAATGAAATTACCTTTTCCCTAAGTAAAAATAAGGTAAAAAAATAGGTAACAATTAAAAAGACAATTTATTTACAGAACCGCAACTCACCACACACTATTTTATATTATTAATAATTTGTTTATTATTTTCGCAAACCGCTATACACCATTTATCTTTTTTTAATTAAAAATCGCTTGACCTGAGCAGGGATCGAACTCACGACACATCCGTTATCGTTTTACGCTTTCAATCGCTAGACGAGCTCGACCAAGAAACCACTTAAAAACTTTTTACTAGATATAGTTATAATGGAATAAGGTTTCAAACTTCCGCTGATAGAATGAAATGCAATAGATTCAATTTGTCAATTTTTAGTGACCAAATATATTAAAAAAAAGGAAGTGTATACAGATGGGAATCATGTGGTAGGCTTAATAAATAATGACCTAAGATGGACGTCCACTGGACGTCAAAATACTACTAAACTTAAAATTAAGTCCAAAAACAGACATTCTCTGGGTATCGATATTCAGCTGTCAAATTAATTAGCATAAACGGACGTACACTGGATGCCCAGATATGGACGTCCTGACCCTCGAATGGATCTAAAGTGTTCGTCAATTGGACTGTGTGCTGTCTGGGCATAGACGAATTTTTAGAAATAGTACTTATTTAAGTATGTACCAATATTACCAAAATCAACTCCAGTATGATTCATTCAATAAATATAAATATGAATGGGCAAAACATCTTTATATTGACCTAATTGTAACTTACAATTTAACCATAATAAAGGGATTTCGCCCACTTTAACCAATCCTAATTGAAACACGCGGATTTATTATATTTTTTTAAATATAATTTCAAAATAAAATAAACAAAATCTGTAGTTCATTGTTTATTTAATTTATTTAAAATGAGACAAACATATTTCAGAAAATCCAATACCTACATATGAATAATAAAATGTTAAAAATGATTAAATCATTATACTTAATATTTATAAATGTGATAAAAGTCTTAGTTTCCTAATAACTTTTTTGGCACATTTTATATCTGTATTAGAATGCCTAAGTGTGTAAAAAATCTTTATTTTATTACTACACAAAACAAACACCAAAAAATATCACTTAACATTGCTCACGTACTAACACTAGCGTCTATTTCTTGTGCTCTACAAATGAACCTGCTTCTGTGGCGCCATCTAGTGAAGTAAGGTGAAGTGATAACGACAGCTGTTCAGTTCGTTCATGCTTGTTAATTTGTTATGTATTCTGTAAAATTTGGAAAATATAATTGCAACGTTGCCGGATTGTGATAAAATTAGTAGTTAATGGAAAGTTGTGATTGTCCATACCGGTCCATAAATATGCAACAAGAAAACAAAGCAACGACTTATCGTAGGGTGGCGGCGAAGCCGCCACCAAAAAACATCACCCCATACCTGGCTACGCCGACCGGCATAGGCTCCAACGGCCTGGACACAGCTCAAATTGAATAATTGAAATGAAAATTCTCAAATAAACACATTTATATTCTGGTTTTATCATCTGGCCTGGAGCTATTGAAAAAACAGCCACTGTCATTCCTGTTATGTACGTTCTTTTACTATGTTGGAC